ATATCTGCAAGTTGATCATTCGACCTCACAAACTTTGTAGCAATCTCTCCTGAAAGTATCTTTTCTCTGACGAAGTGACAATCAATCTCAATGTGTTTAGTTCTCTCATGGAACACCGGATTTGATGCAATATGAAGGGCAGCTTGATTATCGCACACAAGTTCCATCCGACTGATTTCACCAAATTTCAACTCCTTGAGCAATTGTTTGGTCCAGACTAGCTCACATGTTGCCATAGCCATTGCTCGATATTCTGCTTCTGCACTAGACTGAGCAATTACATTATGTTTCTTGCTCTTCCTGGACATCAAATTGCCTCATACTAAAACACAATATCCAGACGTAGAACGTCTATCAGAAGGTGATGCTGCCCAATCAACATCTGAGTATCCAACGATCTGCTCATGACCTCGATCCTCAAACAGTAACCCTTTGCCTGGAGCCGATTTTATATACCGAATAATGCGGACAACTGTATCTCAATGACTATCACAGGGAGAATTCATAAACTGACTTACAACACTCACAGGATAAGAAATGTCGGGTCTAGTCACTGTGAGATAATTTAATTTTCCAACCAGACGCCTATAACTTGCAGGATCGCTAAGCGACTCCCCCTGTCCTGGCAGAAGTTTAGAATTCGGATCCATCGGAGTGTCAACAGGTCTGCAACCTATCATCCTTGTCTCTTCAAGAATGTCTAAAGCATATTTTCTTTGAGAAATAACAATACCTGATCTAGACTGGGCAACCTCAATACCTAGAAAGTACTTCAATTTGCCTAGATCCTTAATTTGGAAGTGCTGGAAAAGATGTTGCTTCAGATTGGTAATACCATCCTGATCATTGCCAGTAATAACAATATCATCAACATAGACTACCAGATAAATACAGAGACTTGAAGCAGAGTGCCGATAAAACACAGAGTGATCAGCTTCACTACGAGTCATGCCAAACTCCTGGATAACCGTGCTGAACTTACCAAACCAAGCTCGAGGAGACTGCTTTAGACCATAAAGTGATCGACGCAAGCGACATACCAGGCCACGAGACTCCCCCTAAGCAACAAAACCAGGTGGTTGCTCCATATAAACCTCATCCTCAAGATCACCGTGAAGAAAGGCAATCTTAATATCCAGCTGATAGAGGGGCCAATGATGAACCGCAACCATGGATAGAAAAAGGCGGACTGAAGCCACTTTAGCCACGGGAGAGAAGGTATCACTGTAATCGAGCCCAAATATCTGAGTATATCCTTTGGCAACAAGACGGGCCTTAAGTCGATCAATCTGGCCATCGGGACCAACTTTGACTGCATAAACCCAATGACAACCAACAGTAGATTTACCTGAGGGAAGAGGAACAAGCTCCCAAGTACTACTTGTATGTAAAGCAGACATCTCGTCACTCATAGCTTGTCGCCATCTTGGATGAGACAACGCTTCACCTGTAGACTTAGGGATGTAAACCGAGAACAAAGAAGATATAAAAGCATAATGGGGAGATGACAGACGATGATAACTCAAACCGACATAATGCGGATTAGGGTTAAGTGTGGTCCGTATACCTTTCCGAAGTGCAATCGGTGTACTAGGAGCAGGGTCAGGTGCAGGACGAGAACCAGTTGGGCCTGATGTAGGGCGCGAACGATGATGATAAGTCAAGAATGGTGTTCCTGTGGCTGGGTAACTAGGAGGAACAACACTAAACTCCTCAACGGTTGGTATGGATGAAACGTCTGTGGTCGAAGGTGGAGGAGGAGCTATAGTAAACTCCTCAAAGGTCGGTATAGGTAAGACCTCAGATATATCATGGTGGTCAGCAGATGTACAGAAAGGTTTAGACTAAAAAAATGTGACGTCAGCTGACATAAGGTACCTACGAAGATCTGGAGAATAACAACGATATCCCTTCTGAACACGAGAATAACCAAGGAAGACACACTTGAGAGCACGAGGATCTAACTTATCTTTCCCAGGGGCTAAGTTATGAACAAAACACGTGCTCCCAAAAATACGGGGTGGAAGAGAGTATAAGGATGACTGGGGAAACAATACTGAATGCGGAATCTGATCCTTGATGGGAGATGAAGGCATCCGATTAATCAAATAACAAGTTGTGAGAACTGCATTGCCCCAAAAACGCAACAGAACACGAGATTCAATTAGAAGTGTGCGAGCAGTCTCAATAAAGTGCCTATTCTTTCTCTCAGCAACCCCATTTTGCTGAGGGGTATAAAGGACAAGATGTCTGGTGAATAATTCCTTGAGAAATTATAAACTGCTAAAACTGAGAAGATAAATATTCTAAGGCATTATCATTGCGAAAAATGCGAATAGAAATACCAAATTGGTTTTTGATTTCAACACAGAAACTCTGGAATATAGAAAATAACTCAGAACGATCTTTCATTAAGAAAAGCCAAGTACATCTTGAATAATCATCAATGAAACTGACAAAATAACGAAATCCCAAGGATGAACTGACTCTACTAGGACCCCATATATCAGAATGAACTAAGGAGAAGACAGACTCTGCATGACTCTCAACACTACGCGAAAAGGAGGCTCGGGTATGTTTCCCAAGTTGACACGACTCACAATCTAATGTAGACAAACTAGATAAACTAGGCACCATCTTCTGAAGTTTGGATAAACTCGGATGTCCTAAACGTCTGTGGATTAGATCCGGAGGATCTGTAACTAGATTTGTTGTGGAATGACTGAGTGAGTTAAGGTAGTAAAGGCCTTCTGATTCACGTCCTGTACCAATTGTCTGTGCCGTACTGCGGTCCTGCATAATAAAAGAATCGTCAATAAAATATATACCACAATGGAGGGCACTAGTCAAACGACTAACAAATGCAAGACTAAAAGGACAGCCAGGGACATAAAGAACGGAATCTAGGGTGATAGAAGACAAGGGATTAGCTTGTCCAACTCCTTTTGCCTTAGTTTGACATCCATTGGCTAAAGTAACAGTGGGAAGAGACTGTGAATATATAATATTTGACAAAAGTGATATATTACCGGAGATGTGATCAGAAGCGCCTGAGTCCATGACCCATGGGCCAAGAGTGCTAGATTGGGAAACACAAGCAAAAGAATTACCAGTAACAGAAGTATCAGTCTGAGCAACTGAGGCTACTTGTGGAGATGTCTGCTTACTTGCTCGATACTGAAGGAGCTCATTATATTCTTCTTTAGATAAAGAAATCCCTGGTTACCTGTAGTCTCGGTCTGAGCAATGTAAGAATTTTTGGGTGGACGACCATGTAAGGAATAGCACATTTCACGAGTGTGTCCAAGTTTGCGACAATAAGAACACTTGGGTCTAGATCTTCCAAAACGACCTCCTCCTCGTCTATGCTCCATAGTTTGAGATGCCCGAACATCCATTGTCTGGGATGCAAGAACAGAGGAATCAAGTATCTGTGATGAGATCACTGGTGGACTTGGTGCTGCAGCAAGGCGGAGTAATCGAGAGAATAATTCATCAACTGTCGGGACAGACGGACTAGCCAAAATCTGGTCGCGTACTGAATCAAGATCATTAGGAAGTCCAGCGAGGGTAAGAACGAGAAACATCTTCTGTCGCTACTCTTGTTGTTTTTCAACACTAGCAGAAACTAGCACCAACTTCTCAAATTCCTCCATGACTGCCTATACTTGACCCAAGTAAGTAGACATATCTAATTCCTATGCCTATACTTGACCCAAGTAAGTAGACATATCTAATTCCTACTTCTTTAAGTTTGTCATCCGCGATATCACATCATAGAAGCGAGATATGTCATTAGTGTATAAGGTGCGTGTCTTTGCCCAAACCAAATAACATGTCTGGAATGGACGAAACAAGGGCATCAACTTGGAATCAATAGATCGCTACAAGATGCTACATAACTGAGCATCGATTTTTGCCCAAAGTGCTATTGCCTTTTCATCTCCTTCGCTAGACTGTTTGATTAGATGATCTTGAACACCTTGGCCTCTATACCACAGCTCGACAGATGAAGCCCAAGCTAAGTAGTTTGAACCTCCCATTAAAGGTTCCGAGGTAATAATAGCACTAGAGCTTCCAGAACTCATGTTTCTAGACCCAAAAGCATCAAATCCCAAAGACATTGTTGCAAATTATTACCAAATAAGAGAAAGAATCAGCTATAATCCACTGAAACAGAGTAAGGAAACACAGAAACAGAATAATGAAATACTGTAGCTGCCGGAATCTTATTGTACCTGTCGGAATAGTACTGTAGCTGCCGGAAAAAAACTCAAAGTGGTCGGAATGAAATGAAAACAGTAGGGGTAGGATCGGAATTACCAGGCGACCCAACTGTTCTTAAGGAAGTTTTTCAAAAAATGGCCGGAAGTGGTCGTACGCGCAGGCGCGTGAGCTCACCTGCGTGAGCTTCTGGTGGCGCGTGGAGGCATATGAGGAGGCTGCTACCGGAGATTTTCACTGGGGTTTGGTCGCCAGACAGTGACGACTCTTGCGTTAGTGTTGTATTTTGCACAACACTGACGGAGACGAAGCAGACGCAAAACAACCTTAAAAAAGAGTCGCCGGAAAAAGACTTCCGCTGACTGATTTCTTTTCCCGGAATCGCTGGAATTTATGCACAGCGATAAATCTCTCACAATTGCTCTGATACCATGTGAGAAGGCACGGGAGAAACTATGTTATTAATATTAGATGTTCAATATAATACAAGAGGTCCTTATTTATAGCTATACTATACAAGGACATACTACTCCTATTCCAATGTGGGACAAGACTACACTATATACATAGCTGTAAACTAACAAGTTTAAAGATGAGTTGGTTTATCCTGCTTATTAGTTAGCATTTCTCCGTCATAGTATTACCGGCTAAAATCATGATTTTAAACATTGAGTAGACCAGGTTCGCATCGGCCTAACAAGCACATTGCCCATCCTTCTTTTTTTTCTTGTGGGGAGACGAGTTGGGAAACCTATTGTACTGGGTTAAGCGTAAATATCCTTTTACCCCTTTCCCTTACCACTGATCATTCCCCAACATGAGCACTAACTCTTCACCATGCCTGCTCACGTATCGCCGCTCGCACCCCTACACCGCCCTGCCATCACGCCTAATTTTTGTACTATTCTTTTTTAGCTGTAATTATACAAAATTTGGTATGATAATTAAATGAGTGTAATTTCTTCTTTTTGCTCTTATAGCCTCTTAGGTGTGCTTATCATAATCGGGAAATGTTGTATTTCATCTTTATACCTTCCATGACTCAAAAAGCCCAGTTCCCCTATTGACAATGATGACTAAAGCAGCAGAACTTCTTCAATCATGGAGAAGAGGGTTCTGGAAAATGAGGGGACTACTCTTTGACATGGTTATGGATATGCAAAGTCTTTATCTGATTTGTGAGTTCGATGAAATGAAAAAAACAATCTAGGACAGTGCTTTAGAGGATATGATAATATTTGTGGAAGAACACTCCTTGCTCGTAAGAGATAGAAACACTAATATGATGTAAGGAGAGGTGTCAAGTGGGCAGACTAAGTCAAATTCGGTTGCTTGATCAGGGTAGAACCAGTGTAAGTATGCACGGGTCTAACAGCCCCTTGTAGAGGTTGGAGCAACCTTCTTATTCGAGAAAGGATAGGCAGGTCACTATTGCTTATGGAAAACTTCAAGTCAGACCCAATCCACCCAATGTTTGCTTGGCCACTATTGGGTTGGGTCAACAATGGGTTTAGGTAGGTGATAAACTAACCTGCCCAAAAGATCTTCTGGACTAGCCTCAATATATCAATATGAACAACAACAACAACAACAAACTCAGTGGAGTCCCACTATTGGGGCAAATATATCAATATGAACAAACTAATTAGAAAAGAAATTTATATCTATTGCACTTTTTGCAATCATATCTGCGAAAGGGTTGACACTCTGCCGGTATTGCATCCCAAAAATTTTTTTAGAAACATTAGACATGGGCTATTTTGGGCAGGTTAGAAAGTGATCTGTGAACAGAATATGACTAGGGACTAGGGTCACTATGGGTTGGGCTAAAGGTGACCCAAAGTGAAAAGCATCACTCACCAAACTCATAAGTGCTTGGGCAGGTTGCTGGTTACTAATTTCTGTGTTGATCTTGTCACTTCTATGTTATACGAGATGTGAGACTTTGTATGACATAATAGTTAAAGGTTTTGGTCTTTGGGGAAATACTGGGTCAGAACATTTGGTAGAAAATGAGGAGAATACAAGAGAGATACTGCAATTGAAAGAGGAAATAAATAAGAAAGAAGGAAGGAGAACAAGCTAGCACCAGAACTTTAGAGATCGGAAACACACACCAACTATGAGTTTACCTATTCTTTTTTGTTCTTCTTCTCCTTTTTGGCATTTATCGAGCATTAAATTCTGGTTGAATTGACTAGCTAAGATCTTCTGAAAAAGATATTCTGCGTGATTAGTTATCCTTGTATACCTTTTCCTGCTGTGTAGTTATATAGGACACTAGCAATGACTTGTGAGTTTCTGGACAGTGTTTTGTCATTTAGTAGATTCCTTTGATTGTGCTTCTTCAACTTGTAGCTATCTTAATCACAGTGAAGCAATTGAGCTTGCTTATGTAGGTTTACCTAGTTGTCATGTGTTGCTTAATTGTTAAGAATGCTTCGTTGCCGTGGAGGGTCACTCCAGGTATATTTGTTTTGTTTTGTATTCTTCTCTGTTGATGTCCATGAGCTTCTTTATAGGGTCTGTTAAAGATATATTACGAGATTGTTCTGTGTTTATGCATTTCTGAGAAGCAGTGGGAAGCAGCCATCTACCAAATGTGTGAGCACTTAATACGCAATATAAGTCCTCTGCAACCCCAACCCCTTATGATATTTAATAGTAAACATCAGTTTGTTTTGGAAAGTATCAAATGCAAATAGATTGTAACTTTACTCTATGTGAAGTTGATTACAAAAGGTAACAGATGCCAATTTTGAAACTTTACAATGGAAAGGATGATAGATTGCAGAGTAGGCAGTTCATCAGTGGATTAACACATTATCGTTTTGCTTGGTGTAGTTGCAGGATGGTTTGCCAAAAGAGCAAATTGGGCACGATCGACAGACTGTATTCGAAGTATGGGTTTAGTTACAGTTTTCAGATTTCTTCCGTTCCTTTTTACTGGCAAAAAGTGCATTCTGACCTGCAATTTCTATGCGATGAAATTTATCCCATAAAAAGTGTTGCAGCTCATCAATTTTTTGCAGTCACTGTTTGCTACTGTTTTATAACCTCTAATTTATTAAAATGATGTGGAATGCCCTTGGAAATTAGGAGGAGATCACTTCTTTACGGGCAAAAGTTGTGGCTTTGGAGGAAGAGCTTAAGAAATCCCGTCAAGAGGCATCAGATTATCAACATCAGTGTCAACAGCTGGAAAAGGTACAACTTCTTTCCTAGACATAGCGGTTGTTTGGTTACCCGCATTACTGGAAGTGATCTCGACATTAATAGATCCAGGGTATTATTAGAAACAAATGTTTTAAATTTTATGTACAAACTTTTAAATGGTTAACCAACACTTCGATAACGAATGCAAGTAATTCAGAAATTATTATTCGTTGAATTAGCATCCCTAATATTATAATCTGTATATAACTTGTCCGTATGCAGACGAACCATTAGTTGCTTTCGCTTTCAATAATAATTTCAGTTGCAACTGATTATTCGTCATTGCATGATTCAATTATACAGGAATTGAAGGATCTTAAAGATTATGAGCAGCAGACAAAGCCAAAGGTGTGCTTCATCAGTTGCTTTACTTCTTTTGGTTGGTGAAGTTCTGTTTCTGCCCTAGAAATAATAAGTATTGTTTGTGCAAGGAATTATTTAGTTTGTGCGGTTGCCTCTCTAAACCTCAAGACCAAAGAAATATATGGGACACTATTATTAGGCTATTAGCTGTATCAGTGTGCTTGTCGCCAAATCAAATTTTTGCTGAGTCTGATTGGCACTATGTTTTCTTAAAGTTGTATTCCTTTGGAGATATCATATTAGTCTGAATATGCTGTTAAAGAATGTATCTATTCATATGATTTTCCTTTGGAGGAAACATACTGTCACGACCCAATTTCCCCTCCGTATGATGTCGTGACGGCGCCTAGTCTCTACGACTAGGTAAGCCTAACATTTGCGGAATAATGAAATGAAAACATAAATTTAACAACTAACTGTAGCAGTAACAACATAACTGGGTACCATGCCGCCTGACATGTACAATAACCAACAACAACAACAACAACAACAACAACCCAGTATAATCCCACTAGTGGGGTCTGGGGAGGGTAGTGTGTACGCAGACCTTACCCCTACCCTGGGGTAGAGAGGTTGTTTCCGATAGACCCTCGGCTCCCTCCTTCCAAGAACTCCCCACCTTGCTCTTGGGGTGACTCGAACTCACAACCTCTTGGTTGGAAGTGGAGGGTGCTTACCACTAGAGCAACTCACTCTTGTCATGTACAATAATCAATTATTCAAAATACACAGAAATCCCAAAATCCGGAACATCGTGAATCACAAACTACAGAAGGAAAGTCTAGTGTCTCTATACATCAGAGTCTAACAAAGGAAAAATACAGAAGATAATGGACATGGGAAAGAGTAGAAGGGGACTCCGAGGTCTGCGGACGCGGCAGATGTACCTTGAAGTCTCCAAAGCTGTCCCGGCTCACTAATAGTGCGGCTGATAAGGAGCACCTGGATCTGCACACGAAAAACATGTGCAGAGAGTAGCATGAGTACATAGAGATAACAACAGGGGATCTCCTGAGATACCGTCTCGTAGTCCCAAACGTAAATGTGTAGTACAGGGGGATCTCCCGAAATACCGTTCCGTAGTCCCAAAGTAAATATGCAGTACATGGGGATCTCTCGGAATACCGTTCCGTAGTCCCAAAGTAAATATGCAGTACAGGGGATCTCCCGGAATACCGTTCCGTAGTCCCAAAGTAAATATGCAGTACAGAGGAATCTCCCGAAATACCGTTCCGTAGTCCCAAAAGTAAATATGCAGCTCAAACAATAGAATTAACAGCTACAACACGAAGTTCTACAATTTAGACAAAGTACAAGTCAAGGAAAAGCAGGAATTTCACTAAACATGCTGCACGGAGTTCAGATAAGCAATTAAGGCAGGTAGACATGCTATTCTAAGCTAACATGATACTACACATGCTGATGTAACTCAAATAAGAAGGAAACATGTTATTACTTAGCAGAAATCGGGTTTTTACAACAATTAGCCCGTGTACGTACTCGTCACCTCACGTACACGGCGCTCACATATTAAAGCAGTACCAAATCCTAAGGGGATTTCCCCCACACAAGGTTAGGCAAGCCACTTAGCTCGAACCAAGCTCAATCAATCGCTCACAATGCCTTTCCCACGAATATCCGGCTCCAAATGGCCCAAATCTAGCCAAAAGCAATTACATATCATAAATACAACCATAATAGACTCATCTAATTAATGAAATCAATACTTTAACAAAAATTCCGAAATTCTCCCTAAAAAGTCGACCTGGGCCCACGTCTCGGAATCGGGCAAAAATTACAAAATCCGAAAGCCCATTCACTCACGAGTCCAACCATACCAAATTTATCAAAATTCGACCTCAAATGACCACTCAAAAGCCCAAATCAAACTCTTCAAATCCCTAGCCTCCAACTCCCAATTTCCACCTTAAATACACACTAACTAGGTGGGGAAATAAATGGGGAAGCAAGATTATTGATCAAAAATAAGCACAAGGGACTTACCTCAAGAAACACCTCAAAATGCTCCCAAGAAATCGCCAAACCCGAGTTCAAAATGTTGAAAATGAGCAAAAATCGCGAACCTTTGCATTTAAGTGTTCTGTCGAGAAATCTCGCACCTGCGGACTCTCTGTCGCATCTATGACGCCGCGCCTGCGAAAATGCCATCGCAGGTGCGGATTCCACTTAGAATCCCAGGTTCCGCTCTTGCGGCTATGCGACCGCATCTGCGACTATCGCACGTGTGGAAATGCATCGCACTTGCGGTTCTTGCCCAGCTCCTTCTTGGCCGCATCTGCGACTCCTCCTTCGCACATGCGATCCCGCACCTGCGATCCCGCACTTGCGGTCTCCCCTCTGCAGGTGCGAAAACACCAGAAACTAGAAAATCTTCCGCAACTAGCCTAAGTCCAAATTCAATCCGTTAAGCATCTGAAATACACCCGAGGCCCCCGGGACCTCAACCAAACATACCAACAAGTCCTAAAACACCATACAAACTTAGTCGAGCCCTCAAATCACATCAAACAACGCTAAAAACACGAATCACCCTCCGATTCAAACTTAATGAATTTGAAACTTTAAACTTCTACAACCGATATCTAAACCTATCAAATCACGTCCGATTGACCCCAAATTTTGCACACAAGTCGTATTCAACATTACAGACCTACTCCAACTTCTGGAATCGGAATCCGACCCCGGTATCAAAAAGTCCACTATCGGTCAAAATCTCCAAAAATTTGACTTTCGCCATTTCAAGCCTAAATGAGCTACAGACCTCCAAAACACAATCCGGACACGCCTCTAAGTACAAAATCACCCAACGGAGCTAACGGAACCGACGAAACTCCATTCCAGAGTCGTCTTCACACAGTTCCGACTACGGTCAAAATCCTAAGACTTAAGCTTCCGTTTTAGGGACTAAGTGTCCCAAAACACTCCGAAACCAAAAACAAAACCTCCCGGCAAGTCACATAAGCAGAAAAAGATACGGGGGAAATAATAAATAGGGAATCAGGGCTATTACTCTCAAAACGACCGGCCGGGTCGTTACACATACAGAAATCGTAAGAGGTGTGTATTCAGCTTGACCATCTCAGTAGAACATATAGTTATTCAAATTAAAAAACAGAGTTTTCTACCTTGTGTAGAATAGAGGAATATCAAATACCCTGTACTACTGAAGTTCTTTACATATGTATGGTATGTATTACATGCAATTTGTGCACAGCCATTGCCATTCAGCTTGTCTATCAAAATATTGTTGTGGAATCTGGCTTTATTGAATCTAAAATGCTTCCTTTTGCTATGGTCCATCTGTGGACATATTTATCATCTCATGCAAGTTGTTCACGAACATCACTATTTAGCTTCCTCTCAAATATTGCTGTCTAATCCTGATTTGTTAAACTTTAAAATGTTCCTCTTATCTGTGTTCCATTTGTGTCTGCAATGA